ATGGAGGAGGTTCTCAATTCGACTGTATGCTTTTTTTTCTATATATGTTACGCGATAACTCCGGTATTTGTGAACTGATTTTCCTGATTATTTTTTGTTGGAAAGAGGGATAGTGGTCCCATTTAATTTTGAAGAAAATCATCCACCTCAATATACTTTGAGTAGTGAGAACCGATTTTTATTATCTCCTGTGTCAAGGTCCGTACAGTGGCGAACTAGGGGATGACCGGATTCATCTTTTCATTCATTCATCATTTGCACACTTTCCGTTAACCGATTGCAATAAAACTTGACAAATAAATGTAATTCCACGTACTTTTGAGGTCGGTTTTTTTAGTACTCTGTACTGAGATTATCTAAATTTGTATAGCCTCGGATTCCGAACGAATACGAATGCGAAAAGCGAAAATGAAACTATTTTTACGGATCTACATCGCGTATATTTGTTTTTTCGGACATACCAATATTTCGGCCCCTTTACATGTCCCATAGTCACGGTTGACTTTGAAGGGCCCAACATTAAATAAGTTTTTTTTTAATACCTACCAAGCGATGGATCAAACATGTCCGAATGGTAAGCGACACACCTGTTGCAGTGTCACTCAAAGCTTTAAATCGCAAACATTTGAGTGGTACTGCCACAGCACCCGTCGTAGTAGTAAGTAGAGAAGTGCTATGTTCCTGTAATTTCACCAGCACCCTGTTACGGGGGGTCTTCTAAATAAAGGAAAGGAAAGAACCCTTGTAAACAAATTTATTTGGGCGCGGTTCGTTTTTTTTAAACCCAACGGTTATTCACTGAACTTTTGCCTTCCTACGACCAGCAGCTGGTACTCCCCTGGCTGCTCTGCCGAAGTAACGTCCGGGGTTGAAGTAACCGGTACAGGACCGGATCCGTCCGCCGAATATGAAGTCCGGGTGTGAGGGTTGACGGCGTCCGCCGAATTTACGTCCGGGGCACGGTGTCGCTCTCTGGGCACAGGCCAGTCGACGCTGAGAACGGTAATAAGTACCGGAAACCTCGGACCCTGGAATACCCATTGAACCAGTTAGCAACTGTCCACGGTTTGCTCCCCTGACAACGGCAGCGAACAAAGATGTGGGAAAAGCACCAGGTTATGTATGCAGTGTTGCGTGATTGTCACAATCAGAACGGAGTTAACATTTACTAAACATTTCAAATTACAAAAAAATAGACAAACATTACAAAATAAAAAAAAAAACCGTTACGACTACAATTTAAATAAGCGTTACTAAAAAGCATAATAGGCAAAAGAACTTACGTGTTCGACACTTACCACACAAGTGGGTTTAAAAACACTAACGATTAATTATTTTAAATTCCAAAAATAAAAATGAACTTGGCGGAGACCGCATACGAAATCGCTTGTTATGAAGGAAATGCGCGTGCGTCTCTCTTTAAGACAGATTTCGGAGTCAGCCGTCGTCCAAACGGTAGCGGGACAGCGGCTTGCCTGATACCCCGCAAAGGGGGCGAGGAACCTAACCAGTTGTCGCCTATAAAAAATGGCTCGCGCGCATTCCTCTCTCGATATCTCAACTATACGTTCCACTGCTGGTCACGGGACTCTTCCGAATACATCCTTACAATAATTAAAACAAATTAAATATTATTAATTTACAACGTTACAACCCTTACCCTTCGAATCCCGAATGCAGCAATACTCATACTATTGCTCGGCGGCTCTCTCTCACTAGAAGCTACTGCTAATAAAACGAACGAATATAGGCACTATTTATTACTCAATTTGTTGCCTCTATTAAAATTGTTTATCCTTAAAAAATATGTAATTGTAATCCTTTTTCATCGAGTATGTAACCAGAAATAGAGACGAAAAGCAATTAGCCATCCATCCCTGGCAACTCATCAGGCAAATGGGCCTTATATTACTTTTATATATCGACTCTCGTTTACACTGAAATAAATTAGAAAGCAGCAACAGGCTCAACGCCAACAACTGACCTATATGTACGTCTCCGTATATTCCAAAAATATTCTGTATTTATTATAATAAAGATAATATCCCTAACAATGGCTGCTGTTCCATTCGGTGGTGGTGGTTAAACTGGTCGATTTCAAGACAAACAATTGACGACAACCGTCAATTGTTTCGAATTCGGGCTCGGCAATCGGAGCACTGTTGTCACCTTAATGATTATCAGAATAGTTTTCAAACAAATTAAATGACATTTCGTCTCTATTTCTGGTTATACGCTCGATGTCATTTTTAAATAAACATACCCAAAATAAAAAGTATAAATATAATATAAAGTACAAGTTAAATGAAAAAATTTTAAAAGTATAAAGTATAAGTTAAATGAATAAATTTAATTTCCAAAGGTATTAAATAAAGGAAACAGTACACTGAATATACTTGATATTGAAAAAAATTGTACCGTTAATTCATCTGGTTTTATTCAAAGGCCGCAACCTTGGGGCCCGCGTCGTGACCAGGGGTTTTAGGTGGCTGAGCTTATTCTTTGGCGGGTTTTTGTTCACTTAAGGCTAGTGTTGAGTATTTGCTTTATAGACTTTTTCGTCATAGCGCCATCTGTGAAATCTATTCTCTATCTAATCTTCACTCAGCCAGGTACCTTTACAGCTACCAATACAGACGTCGCTTTAATGATTGTAATTTTTAAGTTTGTCAAATATCACTTTGTTTGACCACCATGATATACTATTATTTTTGTGAAATTACTCCACTAGTTTGTTATAATTATTAATACAAAGACCGAAACACTAAGTTAGTTCGTTCTGTGGCTTAGTTGGTATAGTTTGGTACGGTTTGCTGGAAGACATTTTTTCGAATCCAACCGAATCGAAGTAATTTTTTCTTAGTGTTTGTATTAATAATTATAACAAACAGTGAAGTAATTTCACAAAAATAATTTAATATCATGGTGGTCAAACATCGTGACATTTAATAAACTTAAAATTATTAAGCACTTGTGTCATTTGTGGAAATCGGAAACAACGACGGTACTACAAACACCCAGACCCGAGATAATAATACAAAAGTAAGTTTTCTACATTGACCCGGCCGGGGATCGAACGCGGGACCTCAGAGATGGCTACACCATGAAAACCGATGTGCAAGCCACTCGATTACGGAGGTCACCGTCAGTTACTATCAATTATTGTTTTTAAGTTTATCAATATTTACGTAGATATTGTAAGCCATGTTCATTCATAATTAGTTGTGTAAATTTAGACAACATCTCTACAATGTATTTAATTTATTGTATTTAATATTGTGATAACTGCTGTGAACCAAAGAAGAAAAATATAATCCATTTTTAATAAGGAACTTTTTTTATAATATCGAGTGACGGGACGAATAAGTCGTGCGCCTGATGGTAAGATGCACGCCTGTTATGGACATAACAGTTGCAGTGCCAGTTATAGCTAGCTTTAAATCGCAAAGATCTGAGGGGCGTTGCCACTGTGCCCGTCACCCTGAGACATAAGTTGACAAGTCCCATATGCCTGTAATTTCTCCAGCACCGATACTCTACCAACCAACTTCATGCCGATAACCAACTTCAAAAAAGGAGGAGGTTATCTTTTTGGGTGTCTGTTACGCAATTACTCCGACATTCGTCAACCGATTTTGATGTTTTTTTTTGGAGGCAAGAGGGTACGTCAATAGTAGTCACATTCAAATTTGAAGAAAATATTTCATGTCTAAGGGTGGCAAACTGAGGATGAATCTGGTTTACTGGATTTCACCTTATTTCGGTTAACCGATTTCAATAAAACTTGGCAAATAGATGTAATTTCGCTTCGATATCATAGCCTAATTTCACAAACTTCCAACGTCGGTTTTTTTAAGTTATAGTTATTGGGTATTGCGCAGTACGTGGCATATACTTTTCCTTAGAATATTGTATGTCTTGAATGGATAAATGTGTGGAATAGCATTCTGTAAACATTACATTCTAGTAATTTAATGACATAAATTTAAATTAATGAATTTTAAATATAGTCTTTAGACCATTAACTAAAAGCATCCCCGTGTATTTTATTTTACTAATTTTCTTCATCATAATTCATATCAAAATAGAGATATACAACTGAAACTACGCACCGTAAAAAAATTGTTAACGAACTCCCTTTGAAAATGGAACAATTACATTAGTTGTAAACACTATTTAATGCAACGTTATCAAGTCACTGTCACGCCACTAGTGCTGCCAAAATAAAAGCAACGAGTGCCTCGATAGTGTACGGAACGTAATCAGTTAATATAAACTTTAATGACAATGAATAAAACATTGGTAATGTAGCGATATCGAATGTCACAGATTCTCTACTCAGCTCTGCAACAGGTGTCTACTACTTTTTGTTCTTAATCACCTCTATTTTTAAACGTCGTTTAAAAGTATCTTTAAATAATAAAGTTTGGTGTATGATTTCAATATTTTCTTAAATTTTTAATGTACAAACCAGAAAATTTACAGCCATTTTTATTTTGCATTATTTCTCCAGAAAAAAAAATGGCCTGACATGGTTCTGTACTTCTATTTTCCAAGTAAACTTTAACACATATTTATTTAAGACCTTTACAAACACATAAGTCAAAAGAAAACCGTATACACCTTAATCTTTCAGAAAATACCGATGCCACATTTTTTCAACATAAAAGTGACAAATTCGTTAAACACTGAAAGGCTAGTAAATTATATAATAAAGTAAAAATATACAAATTAAGCAAAACACGCGCACATATCGTATAAATAATTAGAAAGTATCCTGAAAAAGTCCTGTAAAATTTAATACTCCACAATTCAATTATGCAATCCAACACTAAATTCATTTGAACACACTAACGTATTACCATGTTAATGAAAAACCAGTATTAAAAGTCGGCGGTCGGGTATTAAAATGGTTATGCAAACGTTTTTCGCTTGGGCGGGTGGCTGGGCGGGCGGGGAGTGGGGATGTTCACGTAGACTCGTAACTCTAGTCTGTCCCCGACACTCGCTGCGAGCGTACGCGCTACGCGTTTTCTTGAATAAACATCGTAAAGATAGCTCCGGTTTTTCAACGTATAAAGACCCGTGGATCTTACAGTATTGTTTTTATGTTATAATATCAACAATCTTATAGTGAATTAGTGTTGTACTAAATGGAATTGTTGTAAGTGTTAGTGTTTTCTGTGTCTGTTTGAATTTTTTTTTCGGTAAGTTGACTTCTTTATGTCTTTGTGAATGGAAAACTTACGTTTCGTGTTTGTTTTCTTACAGTAAATGTGTGGACGTTGCTGAATTTTCCGCGAAATTTTCAAGGTTAATATAATTTTTCTATTTGCAGTACGTGTTTCTGTCATGTTTGAAGTTTTCTATTTAAAATACGAACACTTCTTTCGTTTGTCTCGAAACAGTTTTATGCTCATGCACTTGTCGCCAACACAACTAACGTACATAATACTTGCACCTGTAACTTTGTCTACTTATAATATGAACCCTACTTTCACGTATTTTAGTAATATTACAATTCAAATAATATTACGTTTAACTTTGGTGCAGTTTCAGTGCTAATTAGCGAGGTCTAGCAAGCCGTATTATATCAGTTGACGGCACCTATGGACAAATTGCATTTTTTACAGTAGAGCATAACGTGTATTTTTCATCTGTAACTATTTATTATCGTAATGTGGGATTTAGAGCTTATAAATATGCAAATAGAGTGCATTATCTGTTTATTCGTTTGGCTAAAATCGAAACCATTGTGAATTTCACAATAATACTTCGTGGATAGATTGTATTAGGTAGCACCATGTTAAAAATGTAATAGAGGTGGTTCGCATTTGATAGTTGTTAGTATTTGTAGATGCCGTGGTGTTTGCCGAAATCCACGCATTAGGATCCGTGCTCTACGGTAGACACGTTGTAAAAAATCCAGTATACCTACTCAAATTTATCTAACTGACTTTGAACTCTATTTGAGTAATACACAATGACATAATTCATTGACATAATGACGTGAGTGTTAGTTACAAATTGCATGATAAGAATAAAGAAAGTTTTAGCCATAACAATCGAAACGAATACACCTTCCAGTTCTATTGCCCCAAACTTTATACCAACTGAATGTGCTGAGGAGTTTTTCAAACCACGCGGGAGCTCCGTTAGGCATTTTATAGTTTTGATGTTCACTCAGATACGGTAGATATAACATTAAAATGTGAAAATATACTTTTTTTTATTTATACATTTTTTTTTCAAACTGTAGTAAATGTTTACGCAAAAAAAAAAACCGGGGTAGCCTAATAGTTTAATCTACCGTCTCTCTCAAGCAGAGGCCGTGGGTTCGAATCCGTGCTTGCACCTCTGAATTTCTCGAAACTTTTGCGCGAAATTAAATTTGCAATTCACCAAGTGCTTTTCAATGAAGGAAAATATCGTAATGAAACCTGCACGTCGAAGAAGGTTCACAACTCTCGGAAAACATGTGAAGTCCCCAACCCGCATTTCACCGCAAATCCTCGTCTGAGAGGAGACCCTTGCCCAGCCGTGGGACTTATAAATGAGTTAATGATCAATAAATAGTAAATATTGTATAGTTGTGTAAAACTTGTATTAATTATTTATTTTCAAATAATATATTTTAAAGAATAAATTCAAAAGCATCTGTAAGTGTGTACAGAAATACGATTCTGGGTGAGTTTGAACAGTTAATATTCAAATTAGAAATAAATTTCGTTTCTATAGAGCTCGCTTGTAGAACTGTCCACAGTATTGACATATTTTAAAGGGACGTTTGCACCAGCTAAGATTCAGAGCGGTCCTTTTTCATTGCATTTTGGCAAAGTCTGGCGTATTGCATTTAATATTATTTTTTATGTGAGGAAACCTGTTGCTGATTTATATTTGTGTCTTCCTGACGAAGCCTATGTTGCGGATTGACATAAATATGTAATTAATTTAGTTTTTAATTGAATTGTGTTGTGTTAATAAATTTACAAATTTAAATTTCATTGACCTATTTGTATGATAAATATTAAATAAATTTACTAATAAGAAGTAACCTCGAATAACCCAGTTAATCGTGACCATGGGACCTGTAAAGGGCCCGAAGTTGTTTAAAAAATTAATAGGCGCGATTTAAATTCGGAAAAATAGTTTCATTTCCTATGTGTAACAATCGCGAAAACCTAACAACTCGATAAGTAACCTTGAGTTCCTTGCACTTTATTTTCAGTACATCTGCCTGTATATATGCTTACAGATGACTTTAAATGTAATTTGCCTGTTCTTTCTATTTAAGACCTAATAGGTTGAGTTATTTTACCCTTTTATCTGTTCTGTGTAACAAATCCTCAATTTTCGTTCACATTACCTTCTGTCTAAATTTCCTTCTTTAACAGATATTTTAAATTGATATGGTAGCTTGTCGGTAATTTGCTTACTGTATAATGAATAGATTTTTTTTTATTTCAATTAATTGGGTAAGTAGGCCGGCCCAATTAAAATCATTTAAGTCCCAAAAATTAACACAGTCATAATTACATCGTACAAATTGTACCGTAAAAGAAAAGAAAATGCGTAAAATGTAGAACGTTATATCGAGGGACGCGTAATTGTGTAACGTACCCAGGAGGCCGACAAAGTTTGCTCAGTAGATGTTAAGAATTTCATGGTTATTCACTTTATGACTCTATTACTTATATTTCTCTTGCCATAGTATAAATTTTTATTCTGCGTCGGAAAAAGGATAAACTAATTATTATATTAGTAATAATTGTTTCACGTTCTCTTTTCGATGACAAACTTATTCGTTGGCGGTTATAGATACCAGACTACTATTTTGCTTAGCACAAGCTCAATAATAAAAGATTCTTCGTCAAGCTGATATTGTACTCTCAAATTGTAGGAACTTGGTTCAATTTGTTAGCACTTTACTGAACAGTTCTTGTGCTATGAGTTAGTTTATTAGTTTTAGACCTCCTTACGAAAGAGTTTGTCTACGGAACTACTGTTTTTATATTGCTGCCGCCAAGCAGTAATGTGAGCAGTACTGCGTTCCGTCAAAGTCAAAGTCAAAGTCAAAGATGATTTATTCCATAGGTAAAATAAATTTACACTTGAAAAAGTCACATTTAAGCTACTGCTCGTTCACTACGCTGACCTCCCTGAGAAGAACGAGCAAGAAACTCTAGGGATTGCTCTTTTCAAATAAACTTAAATGCTATGGAATACACTTTGAATCAAATTTGTGTGGATTCTGGAGCCATGTAGTCTTTCCATACATCTTTATCTAACACGTAGTCTTCAATTTTGTAATATGATTTTTCGATCAAAATATTTTTAATGCAGTTTTTAAACTTAGGAAATGATAAACTTAACATATGCTCCGGGATCTTATTGTAAAAACGTATACAGTTCCCAATAAAAGAGTTGTTTACCTTGGTTAAACGAAATCGTGGTACCATAAGTTTGGACTTAGCTCTAAGGTTAATATTATGGATATCTTCTTTCTTATTGAAATTATGTATATTTTAAATACAAATATCGCTTGTACACCTAAGAAGAAAGACACTTCGGACACCTGTGACATTTCGGACCGTCATTTGGAACGTGGTGCGTTCAGCGGGGCATTCAAGGTTTGCGCGTACATTGTGCGCAAACGTGTGTCTTGTGTTCGATACAACCAACGCAGTACACAACGTATATTGTGTGCAGATCTTGAACGCCCCGCTGAACGCACCATCATTACGAATTTGCGGCATAAGCACTGCGTTCGTGTGCGTTGCACACCTTGCATCACAGGTTTAGTAGCAGTAGAGCTCCTTGTGAAACAGTTCGTCCAGCGGAGTACTACCACTTTACCCATTTCTGCTTGTCGGCAGAAATAGATAATTAATGCTACTGTAATACGCAGTAATGCCACTGCGTTCCGGTTTTGAAGGGTGCAGTGTCAGTGTCAGATCTTTGCGATTTAAAGCTCTGAGTAGCACTGCACCTGTTATGGACAGGCGTGTAGCTTATCATCAGGCGCACGATTTGTTCGCCCGTCACTAGATATTATACAAAAAGAACAACGTACCGAGCACGTCGCTCATCGCACCCCTGGCGTAAAATGACAATTTTCCAAGAGAGAGACTCTACTGACTCTACGAATGAAATTAGTGGATAACTTTTATGCTTAAATAGGAAAATTATAATTTCACACATAATTTATTTCAAGTTGTTCGTATTCTTTTTATGACTTTCATGTGATAAAAGTTTTTTGACGTATGTTTTCTTATAAGCCCCGCACAAGGGAAACCCTGTGATGATGCCACCTCTTTCATCGTCATCCCACCTTTTTATCGCTCGTTTGTCTGGTTCCTGGCCACTTGCTTTTGAAATTTTGAATCGTTCTGTAATTCCTTTTCCTTGCTATCCTTACTTTGCTTCGTTCCGTCGTCAAAGCTGAAATAGTGGAGCGCCAACAACTGACCAGTATGTATGTCTCCCGTATATTCCAAAAATATTCTGTATTTACTGTAATAAAAATAATATCTCTACCAATGGAGGCTGTCCCATTCGGTGGTATGGGAAAAACAGCAAAATACCTAATTACAAAACAAACGGAATCACATTTCATCCATAATTAAATACGTAATTTTTCAATTTTCGTCCATTGTAGCAAAGCTCAAGTTAAACTGGTACCGTTTTAAAGTGAAACAATTGACGACATCCGTCAATTGTTTCGAATTCGAGCTGGCCAATCGGAGATCTGTTGTCACCGCAATGATTTGGCAGAATAGTTTTTAAACAAATTAAATCACATTTCGTTTGTATTTCTGGTTATATATGTTCTTAATCATGTAACTTACCTGCTTATAAGCAGCAATAATACGAATACAGGCCCTTTTGGGGTAAGTACACTAATCATGTAATAATAAATTAGTTCTAATCTGTAGGGAGTGTTTTTATACTATTGTACTTGTCATTTATACCATTGTTTTTGTTGTACCTGTTTTTATACCTACCTATTTTTGTTTCAGCCTGTCCTTCCTTTCTTTTTTCCGTCACCTTTTCCCTGTTTGACATTTCCAATAAATTCTTATGGACCGAGCATACTTTCTATCATTATTACGCAAGACTCGCGTGGCAACCCTGTATTGTGGGTGCCATGGACGAAGACAACCACAAATTACACCCAAACTCGCGAGAGAAATAAAGACCTCTGCGT